ATGGTGCAGAAAACCACTCCCCTTTACCCTGCATGATATCTTGCTAAGGCATTAAGAATTCTGGTCTGGCTGCTTGTCACATAGCAAGAATCATTGTGCTAAGAAAAATGAACATGCTGAAAGGAAATGACAATGTTTAGACTCCAAAATTACATACCCTGAAAGAATATATCCAATAATAAATAAGTGAATGAGCAATGCAGAGGATAATCTAAATTTACAATTTGTATGTATTGTATATTGCGGCAGAGGCATGTTTAATTACTGTTTTGTCTGGTTACAATGTATGTGCTTGTTTTGCAAAATGTGCATTTGTAGTCATTGTTCTGAGCTAATGTTTTAAATCAAAGTTTCATGTAAACTGTTTTTCCTTTGTTTTTAATACTAATGTGAGGTAGCATTAATGAAGCATCAGAAAAACACAGGGATATTCAGAGAGAACAAGATGAGTGCTGGGTGTGCAAAGAAAAAAATTGTTGCGGGCTCTGTATGTGCGTGCTGAGTGCCTGCTCTCTCCTCTCAGGAGGAAGGAAGAAAGCACCCTTCCTGCCTCACTTCTTGACAAGATAATCATCTGCCTGTCACCTTGGGCCACCCATCACATGAAAATTCATCAGCCAAGAATTCCACAATTCCAAGCTGTCAGTCTCTGCTAGAGGGAAAGAAAATACTTCTTCCTTCCTTCTTTCTTCTTTAGAAGTCAATGGGAGTGAGAAACAAGCACCACTTAAACAGTTCTTCCCTTTATCCCATTAAACACAGCTGACCGCTTTTCTCTCTGGATGCCAGACCAAATTAGGAAAATCTCTTAGCTATCTCAGGTGTTTGCCTCTGAATAGCTGACCTTTGCACCACTTGGTCTGGTAAAGCTTAGAGTGCATTGGGGAGGCAGGGTGGAAACATTGGCTATCAGGTATTCTGCCACAGTTACGGGTGGGGATTTTGCCAATGCCATGAAATAAAGAGTAACAGTACAGAATAAACATGAAATTGCTAAACAATACATTAAAATAAAATGTTCTTTGAAGCATGAAAATGTTTTTTTTCTTTCTTTTTGGCCTTTTCACTTACTTACATTTAGAAACAATTATTTTTCCTGTGTTTTGAATAGGATAAAAACAAAAACAATTTGCTGTGATTAAAATTAACCTTTTGAGTTTATACAACCCATTATCAGGTCTGAATATCTCTTTGTGTTCTGAAATCCAGGATTGATGCCAGTACAACTCTGGGAATATTGGTTTGTTGGTGTATTAAGTCTGATGGTTCTTCTAATCTCATTTGTGCTAATCTCAAAACCACTATAGTTTGGCACAGTTTAGAGAGGTTGCTCCAAGGAGACGTCAAACTGAAATAGCAAGAGTGTTATAGATCAGGTCTTCAAATGCCTTGACACAGTTTTGTTTTGTTTTCTGAGAAGGAATTGGGTCTGAGCTGACTTTAGAGATAGTGGTGTTAAACTCTGACCTGCATGAGTGCTACTTTATCTAACACATTTATTGTACACATGAAATAAATAGCAAAGACGATGCTAGGACTGCAAACATGTTTATACCATATTATGTATGTCTATGCTCCACTATTTTTTCATAGATAGCAGACAAAAGTCTAGCTTCCTAGAGTCAGATTTGGAAAATTTACCTTTATGCTGGTGCTTCTCTCCCACCTTCAACTGATTAATGTTAATAAGGGGCAGAACCAAACCCATCAGTCACTGTCAGAAGGGAAATGTCCTGCCTCCTGTCACTCATTTCAGGTTTTTAGCTAGCTATCCCAGCTGCTGCAGAGCTTTTAGGAAGACTTTATTTTAGACTTTTAGACTAACAATTCAGTTCCATAATGAATGTGCCTAATTCCCAGCCATGGCTCAAGGCTGCATTTGATTTTGGGGGAAGATTGTTCCCTCAGTTCTGCTTATTGAACAAAGATTGGCAGGGACTCGGCGTTTAACTGGGGGAGATTTTAATCTGTGGCTACAGAGTAATCAGAAAATTCGACTGACAATCTTGACTCTGAAAAAACTTTATAGAAGAGAGTACAAATCATATGACAGCTTGAAGAAGTCCATGAAGTACAACAGGAAAAAATACTTTTTTGTAAGGCAGCTAAAGCAAGAGTAGAAGTCTGTAGTTGCTTTCCATTGCCCCAGAGCTATCAGAAGGCCTCAGAACCAGCTTTTTCTAGAGAGAGAGCTTTCAGTGGTGCTGGATTCTCAATTTTGAAGCAAACTGGACAATATGATCGGGGTTCCCTAGGGAACTGTGCAAAAATTACAGAACAGCTTTATCCCATTTCCAGTTTCAGCAAGACATGAAAAGGTCACTAAATGAATGAAATCATCCATCACCTACTCCCTATCGTTCATGTTCTTGTTTCTAGCCTGAGAGAATTGCAGACAAATATAGCAGGGTCCTGTCTAAAACATCTAAATACATTTTTAATGGAAGTTTGTCTTTAAAGCATTTCCATTTAAGCATCCTCAGACAAACTCTATGATTTTGTAGATAGATGGCAGCCTTTTATTTTATTTTTCTAATTTCAGTTATTAACATCTGATTTTACTTGTGCTCCCAGAGTTCTTTTCAGTAGAGTGGCTGAAATAATATTGGCTTTAGGGAAGAGTGAAATTCACTTACCTCTTCCACAATAATTTTTCTGATCTGGATTCTGAGTAGAGAAAAATTGAACCAATTACACATAATGACACAGTTCCTAGAGGATTTTGGATTCAGGACAGACAGTGCCTGGAAAGTCAATAACAGACCTGGGATGAGGAGTCCAGTAATGCCATATCCTTTGTTTTAGAAAATATCCTCTCCACACTTTTATACTCAGAGGAAGATGGAGGATATATATATACACATAGTGTACTTAGTTTTGGAGATTATCCTGCTTCCCATCCTGGAGGCACCCTACTCTGAAAATCCACTAAGCACTAAGAAAAATGGGAAAATTTATCCATGGTTTCCTGAAAATGTGCTTTCTTTAAGTAATATGGTCCACACATCTACCTACTTGAAGACAAATGGATCATTCAGAATAGGTATGGAAATGGACATTCAAGGATTTGGGTTTATTGTGATTAGGTCGAATTTACCATTATCAGCACAAACAGATACTTTGTTGTGTTTTTTCTCAAAATATATTTAACAAGATCTGTAACTTAGAAAAGTAGATCTGAGTGATTGTGGCTGTAGAAGTTCCCTCAACTGGGGAGAACTTCATGAGGTAGGGCATTCTAGTCTATTCTCTACTGGTTTTCATACCATGCTCGTCACCCTAAAATCTGAGAGCCCACCAACAGTGCAATAAGCAGTGTGACTACCCAACTGTCACTTGCTTGTCCTCTTATATTCTTCCCAGAGGGAGAAGCATGGGCAGTGGAATGTCAAGTTTTGATAAGGTATTTTTTTTAAATCAGTGTGCTGTGTGTTTATGTAAGGGAAGGCAAGGTGAAAGTGGTGGGGTTTGTGATTTTCCTTTAATTCTTTGGAGAGATCAAGCCACAGGCGCCGAACATCCCTGGAGAATGTCCCGTCTCCTACACAGATGAACTCTTATTGTTGAGAGTTCTAATGTGCCAGAGTAGTGTGGCTGTCAAGCACTCTGTTGGCTTTATGGCTTTATAGGTGATTGTTTAGATACCCTGAACCCAGGCCAGGAAATGATCTGAAGATACAATCTTGCACTTGGCTGGAAATTTGAAGGGACGCCAGTGGGGAGAGCAGAGGACAGGTTTGATCTGTGCATGGAAGCCTGTGTTGCTGAGGGACAACTTTCTGTGCCTGTGGAGTTTCCTAAGTGCTGAAGGCTTCATGCCCAAGTGTATCACCATGCTGCAGTCCATCGGAGAGGTGACACAGACCGGGTGTTCATCCACCAGGATGTCATGGAGTTTCCTAGCCAAGCAGAGATGGAAAGAATTACATGCAGATTATTCTGGGTGAGAGCTCAGTGTCCTAGATTACAGACTGCATCAACCAATTGTGATTGTTTATCTAATACCAAAGGAAAACGCACTGAGGTGCCAAGTCCTTCAAAACACTCTTCTGTGTGCACCAGTGCCATCTCTGTCTTGTTCTAGTTCAACTTCAGCCAGCTCTTCTTTATCCAAGAGCTGCTTTCATCCAAGCAGTCATCTGTCTTGATGACAGTTTGTGTTGAAGGGATAGATAGTGCTATGCGTCACCTGCATATTCTGACACCTCTGGTTCTGCCCTTGAACTGCAGACAGGCTGGACTTAAAACATCCATTGTAGTACAGCTGTGGACCTTACTACTCAAAGAAAGGAAATTTTCAGGTCATACATTTTCCTATTCATTGAGAGTAGTAAAGCAAATTGGAATGTCAATTTTGATTTATTATATTCCTGGAGGAGGGTGTGCATCTGTGCTTTTCTTACAAAGCTGTCTAATCTACAGAGAGATTTAATTCTTCAGCAGGGATAATATTATGCCACTCATTTGATTGCAAATGTATTTAAACAGCCTTTAGCTTTGTATTTCCCTATTAGGTAATGTATCTTTAGATACTAATTGCACAATTGGCTTGATATGAGTCATAGAGATTTAAAGTACAGTATATCTGGTCTGAGTTTAAGTGCCATAAGTACAATACCTGAACTTCATTCTAATTTCTTGGACTCTCTTCTGAGTGATCTGTGTCTAAGGAAAAAAGGTATTTTAATGTATAGCAGAGGCCTTCGTCAGGGATAAAATTTTAATGTTGGATGAGAGAGAGAGAGAAAAAGAGAGAGTGTCTGTATGTGTGTTTTGTGGGCTAGGAGAAGTTCTAACAGGTATAAGAAAATGATGAAATAAAAAAAAATCTAATAAGCACTTGGCACAAAGAAAGGACATCCACTTTACCTGTGATTTTTTTGGGGGAGGGAGGACTGCTATTTGCTTTTTTACCACAATGCTCTGTTTTTTAAAATATTGTCAAGCTTCATAGCTAATTTTTCTCTTCTTCCACCCTCCACCCCTCATTCTTCTGGCAGGTTTAAGAGATGCTACAGGCTCTGAGAGTGACGGTGGTGATTCAAGCAGCACAAAATCAGAAGGAGCCAATGGAGCAGCAGTAATCCAACCCAAAAAGGTCAAAGGGATTGGCTTTGGAGATATCTTTAAAGACAAACCAATAAAGTTACGTCCAAGGTCAATAGAAGTAGAAAATGACTTTCTACCAGTGGAAAAGGTACATATTATAACTTAATTCTATCATTGTTGTCACTGCAGTACTTCAAAATGAGTTTGACTTTCATCTCCAAAGTATGATTAGCTAGAACTGAGAGCTTTATGTTTGTTTTTCTTATTCCTAACTTTGTATGACTCCTTTTGTCATCTGTTGTGCCAAAGGCAGAAGAATAGATTCCTGCAAAACTGATGACTCCTCTACTTAATTTTTGGAATAATGTTATTTTCAGTGAAGGTTTTATTCCTGTGCTCACACCTTCATCTTTGTTCTAAATAGCTACCAGTTCTGAGAACAAGACTGCACAGTTTGTATTAGAAGTGTGATCACTTATACGACACCATTAAGAGTAAAAATAATGCCCAGTTTTTATGTAAAGTTAACATGGTAGCATAATGTTACTGTACTATCAAGCTGCCAAAAAGGAAACTTCAAAAAGTACCTACAGTTTTTTTTAAACAGTGCTTAGATATTCATTTAAAAATGCATTTTTCATACTACTACACTACCTGCAGAGGGTGGAAATTGTTTTATTCTCTTCGTTTGTGTGACACACAAAGATGATCCCAACTAACACTTTGGTGGAAAACTCTCTTTGTTAAAGATTCAAACACCTTCACTCTTTCATTTGAACCCTCAGAGAGGTCCCTTCATTTTCTAGTGTCCAAGGAAAACCAGAGAGACAAGATGACAAGAATTAGTATTTCTACTCATACTGCTAATAGGAAGGGGGAGGGGGGAGGAGCTTTTTAGCTTTTTCATACCTTCTATGTAGAATGAAGTATGTAACATAGTGAAACCCCCCTCACCCAAGGAAGTAAAAAAGGGAAACCCCCCCCCCCCACAAAATCCTTCCCCTCAACTTTATAAGTAATTATATTTAATGTGTATGGATAAGCTGAGACATAAGGCTTGGTTTTGTCAGACGTGTGCATGCTTGGAATTCTGCTTATCTTTGGTAAAATTCAAATTAGGTTCTGCTACAATGTAAACATTTATATGTGCTGCTTTAAAATGTTGAAAGAAACAGTAACTACCACCTGAATTGGATAAGGAAAGATTCAGGGTGTCTTTTTTTTTCTTTTTACGTTGATAGTGATGGTTGCTTAATACTGGATTTGTATGAGCCCAAATTGTTTAGGCCCCAAATTCGAGAAAGCATCTTTCTTTAGCTTGTAATCAATAAGATTTAAGCTTTTTCTTAAAATGAAACATGTTAGTTAAGTGCTGTTCTGGTCTTGAGCTAAAAACATTTCCTATTACTTTAGTAAATGTGTATTTTTAGTACAGGCAGTCCCCGGGTTACGTACAAGATAGGGACTGTAGGTTTGTTCTTAAGTTGAATCTGTATGTAAGTCGGAACTGGTGTCCAGATTCAGCCGCTGCTGAAACTGATTTTTCTTAAAATGAAACATGTTAGTTAAGTGCTGTTCTGGTCTTGAGCTAAAAACATTTCCTATTACTTTAGTAAATGTGTATTTTTAGTACAGGCAGTCCCCGGGTTACGTACAAGATAGGGACTGTAGGTTTGTTCTTAAGTTGAATCTGTATGTAAGTCGGAACTGGTGTCCAGATTCAGCCGCTGCTGAAACTGACCGCCAGTTCTGACTTACATTTTTCATAAAATTAATATGGTTCAAGAAACTACTACTAGCTCAGGATAGTATTTTGAGAGAGACCTTGACAACTTGCTGTTACATTTCATTAAATAACATGGATACATGCTATATTTAGACCTTCTAACCTAACTTCTGGATCTAAAGTGTTAGAAATGTGAAGGATTTTAAAATTATCTTGCTAGGACATCCAAACCTTGGTATCATCCTGAATCTTCATTTCATACTTTAAAAGGAACAGACAATAGTGAATATGGGTGTGAAGTGTGTTATTCACAGCTTCAAAATGGGAAAGGCTTCAGCTATGGCCCTGGTAACTGTCATGTGACAAGGCATCTAGGTGACTGTATATGTGAAATGAGTGCAAATGCTCAGAAATGGGCCTCAGAATTACTTGTTCTGACTTTTTTTTTTCCAGGAACCTGTTTTTAAAAAGGAATTTATTTTTCCTTTTGTGGATATAAAAGTTACAAGGGTAGAAGAGCATTAATGTGCTAGCTTTTTGCTGGACCACAAAGAAGGGGAAAATATGTGATGGCAATTTGCAGGTCTTTTTACTGCTCCTGTTCATCTCACCACTCTGTTGCTGCTTCTTTGTAAAAAGGTAGTGAAGAGGCCTCAGGGAAGCCAGGAAAGAGGAAGAGGTTTAAACAAGTGAATACTTTTCACATTAAAGGAAGCATTTAATGTTTGGCAGGAGGGCAGCCCAGGCACCCCTGGGCTGCCCGAGCCCCTCCACAGCTTTGCTCTGCGTCTTCCTGGTCTGCAGACCAGGGAGACGCAGAGAAAGCCCCAGAGTACACAGGTGGCAGGACCGCGAGGTCCCGCAGTCCGTGTACTCTGGGGCAGCCCCGTTCGTAACTGCGGATCCGACATAAGTCGGATCCGCGTAAGTCTGGGACTGCCTGTAGTTCATTTCAGGCAGCTATATAGGTAAAGAAAACAAATACAATTTATGCAGATATTCTTATGAGCTAGATGCATAGTCAGTATTTGCATGTAAATAGCGTTTGTTTATGATTACTTTGAACAGTTACCTGTGAATGATGCACATATGGACCTTGACCAGGACTGTAGAGGCATTCAGTATTCATTTATCCACATCTAATTCAGATGTCTTGGAATTGACAAACTGCAGTGCTTTGCTAATACCATATGGTTAAGTTTGGGACAACTAGGGTGCGTCTACACTGCACTGTTATTTTGATATAACTAGCATTATTTCAAAATAACAATGTGAGCATCTACACAGCCATTCTGTTATTTCAAAATAATTTCAAAATAACGGATGGCTTATTCTGAAATCTGTAAACCTGATTCTACAAGGAATAAAGCCTAATTCAAAAACTAGCTATTTCAAAATAAGTGGTGTGTAGATACTCCACTGCTGGTATTTTGAAATAGCCCCTCCTCAGGGCCATTCTAAGTTAGTGCTCCTCAGTGCCTCCTGGGGCTCTAAACTGAGATAGCACATCCACATTAGGGAAGCCTACCTCGGACTAATTTTGAGACTTCGCTGTAGTGTAGACATGCTATTTCAAAATAAGTTATTTTGGAATAACTATTCCGGAATAGCTTATTTCAAAATAGCCATGCAGTGTAGACATACCCTTAGATTTGTATTGGTGAAGGTTGGTAAACTTTGATATCTGTACCAACAAAAAAGTATTTCCATCAGTGATGATTGAAATATACAGATGGGTAAAGTTAAAAAAAAATGCTGCTTAAGATATTTTTTATTAAAGGTATTTACTGTGTATATTTTGACACATGGTGTTGACAGTTTGTATTTTCATTATTAGAAAGCTTTTTTTAATCTCAATATCTAGGGTCATTAAATAATGCTGACATACACTCTGCCAATATTCCACAACTGAGAAAATTTAAAAATAAAAAAGCTTAAAAATAAACTTAGATATCAAAATTATATTTAAAAAAATAATTCTGCCATGCCTACATAAGACAGATTTCTTGTGTTTGTGGTTCTCTGTAAAGATATAGAAATATTTGGTAAATGGGCTATATATAAAATAGAATATAGACCCATTCACCTTTTAGTCATCTAATATGGCTAAATTTGACATGTCCATCTGGTAGATATTAATTGGCTTTTGTGAAATGAAATGAGGTCTTAGCACACATTTTCCTTAACAGAAAGTATCATTACCCCTATTTTACAGAGGGGAAACTGAGATGTGATTTGTCTGAGGTCAGACAGGAGTCCACGACATAGCCAGGAATTTAATCTAAAATCCTTTGAGTCTTAGCCTGATGCCGTAATTACAAATCCATCCTTCTTCTGTATTTACATTTCCCCTAAAGAAGATTTTTAATGGAATGTGATTACATCATATTTGCAATTAGAATACTTTTCCTGTATTTAGTAACTTCTGAGGCTGCAAGTAGGGAATGATTGCACAACACTTACCATAGGCACACACCTATTAACGGCTAGAGCAGTGGTTCTCTTGGGGTACACAGACATCTTCCAGGGGATACATGTACATGTCTAGATATTTATCTAGTTTTATTGCAGGCTACATAAAAAGCATCTGCAAAGTCAGTAGGAACTAAAATTTTATAGAGACAATGACTTGTTTACATTGCTCTCTGTGTAATACACTGAAATATAAATGCAATATTGATATCTAATCAATTTATTTCATAATTATAAGGTAGAAATGAGAAAGCAAGCAATTTTTCAGTAACAGTGTGCTGTGGCACTTTTAAAACTTTGTCTGATTTTGTAAGTAGTAATTTTTAACTGAGTGGAAAATTAGGGTACACGAGACAAATTACACTTCTTAAAAGGGGAAAGAAGTAAGGAAAGCTTGAGAACCACTCAGCTAGAGATCCACTCAATCAAATAGAATCTGATTGACACAAAATAATCAGTAAAAGATATTTCCTCACCCACCTTGTCTTTCACAAAGTAATCATATGATGTTGTTACAGTTTTTGCCTGATCATGGCACACATTTATCATACACTGTCACTACATCATCCCTGCTCTCTTTCACGCATATCCTCTTGGCTACAGGCAGTTTTGCTCTCCACTCTCATCTTCCTCAATTTCTCATGCTGGCTGTTGGGAGGAAGAGGGGCTCCATTTTTGCTTCCTGTGAAGGGAGGGAATACCAGTTGCTCCTGTTTCTTTATTCACCTGTGTAACAGAGTAAGTGAACAGCTGCATAGAAGTTGCTGAGTTTGCTCAGTGCTTCCTGTGCTGCACAATATATTAGGCAGATAGATGGTCCTGTGACTGCGCAGGCCAGGCGGTCTGGTTTTCAACAGCAACACCCAGTCAAAAAAGGACCCTGGCACTGACTGGGCCTTTAAAAAGTTTGGTCAGCTTGACGTACGATATGGTCTGGGCGGGGCACGATA